TTTTTTTTGATATTAATTCTTGCCGCGCAAACTATTTCAAGTTACTAAATATTTAACTTCGCTCATAAATGATACGGACATATTAATCCACGAAAACCTACAAAGCTAAGCCATGTCGCCTTTCAATTGTCAGTTGCCGAATAGAAGATAATAAACAGAATAGAAGCTCATTGAATTGAATGCATTGGTCACAAATTGTCCATTTCAGAGTTCATTGTAGAAGCCTTTCACTTGTATTGAAAGCTGAATTTTACATGTTTAAGTATTAGAACCCTCAGGCCCAGTTCAGACGTCGTGCTTTTGCCGTGCCGAGCTAAATTCAGGAATTAAGTTCGACAAAAGCACGGCAGGAGCACAGCGTCTGAATCAAACTTTTGAATTAAGGTCGGCAAGCAATTGAGTTCGACAAGCCCTGCTGTGCTTCACGACTCTGGCGCGGCAGCGATTCAAACGTCGTGCTTCTGCCGCGCTAAACAAAATTAATGTCTTTTGGCGAGGCTGCGTTCCCACGGGGAGTTAGGAGGAGAATTTTTACAAGGTATCGCTATATCCTGAATTTGGTTCGACTCTGTTGGCTTTTGTAAAACGCATTGGGAACGGTTTTGATGACTGAAGTTGCTGGATATACATTTCCGCTCCGAATTTAGTAAAGCAGTTGACAAGGGGCAATCCGCCCTACATATCGATGGTACTACTACTGGAGGGTTGACCTCCTGAAATTGAATTTCGGAAATCAAAGCGAACAGTTTCGTTAAGGCCACCGTAACATTTGTCGAAAAAGTCTCTAGTAAAGCACAGCGCGGTCTCGCGAGCCTCTAAAAAACTCATGATTACACCAGATTGCAAGTTTCAACAGCGGGCGTGGAATCCACCGCGAGAAAATCCTGATCTTGAGGACAAACTCTCCATGTTACGCAAATAACAGTGAAGAAACATAAGTCGCATTGGAAGACGAATCCCACATAGCGGGAGCGAGAAGAACTGGCTAGAACTCCACGAACTGAAGTCCAATCCGAGCATTAAAATTTCGCCCACAGAAAAAAATTTTTGTCTGGTTCAAACTCACACACTTTGACACTTGAATAGCCGATGAGCTATATGTCTATTTTTAGTAGATTTAATCATCACAACACGATCGCATGTGTACAGTTTGATTTTGAGGTCGTGTAAATAAAAAAAAAAACGATTCGCGCTATAATTTGGACCGTGAATTTAACAGGGAAAAGGTCAAATAGGACTCCTCTGTTTCCCGTGTACTAGCGACACTAAAAGTCGGCATCCGAGAAGTTTGCAGTTTAAGAGACTATATGTCACATATTTGTCGGCTAATTCGCATATTTGTTAGCCAATTTGAGATAAGACTGATAAAGTACTTTGTATCTTTCCCCCGTGAAGCAAGGTTTCTTACCTGTTACTGTGGTTAGCACCCACGTTCCAATCTAGTGGACCCAAGTTCGATTCCGGGATTCGTCGGCTTTTTTTTTTTTCGTTTTTTTTAAGCCACTAGTTTTTTTCTTTTCTCGCAGTTCATGTAGTGAGGGGAAGGTTTGCCAGTTTTTTTACCTCATGTAGTATGCACGAAAGTCGTTCTTATTAAAAAAAAAAAAAAAGACTACTGTTATGACAAGTATTGCCAGAAGTCAAAATGCCCGGTCAAAATGGTGAATAACCCGTAACAAGAGACCACACAGGTCAATCATCATCCACTGGGAAATCGACGGGTTTGCTCAGAAAGCACTTTGATTCATATCACTAATAGTCAAGGTTAGAGCATCTTACTTTGCTTTTCCTTTGTCCGCCATTTTGAATTTTTGAGCGGGTCACCGCTGTACACTCGTTCCCAGACTCCCGTTCCCGGTTCTCCGTTACCAATGTTACTAAAATCAACTAATGAGGGTGAATAATCTAGGTTATGAGTGAATTCATCCATACATCTACCAAACGGCGAAAAGTGAACGCGAAAATTTGGAAGAATAAACTAGTAAACTGAACTAATCAGGTTGAGATACGTAGCCAACGTGTCTTATCAAATTTCTAACTTTGTAGGAACAAATAAAAGAAAAATTTCCTTCGGCTCTCCGTTAGTTAAATTCTACTCAAAATTAACATACACATTTAACATTAATGTGTAAAAAAATTATGTCTTGTTCATGCTGAGTTTTTCTTACGATAGATTGCGCTCTGGTAGCAGACTATGCACCCAAAGCAGAAGCAAGACACGTTTTATCAAGACATCTTTCCGGATTGACTCTGACGGATGGAGACCCTTTTGAGCTAAGTCTGCCAGACAATGAGATACCAGAGGGATTTCACTTGATCCATAAGCGGTCTTCCAAACGAGCTATGTATACTACTAATCCAGAATTTGCAATCATTCTTTCCAAGGAGATTTCATGGCACAGTGACATTGCAACAGAGGAGTTAAGAGAATCGGTAATGATTGAAATTCGTAGATAAACACTAAGAAAATAACCTGAGTAAAGGTTCTACTGCGGTTCTTCCGGTCGCTACGAAACTGCAGCGTTCCCAAAATACGCGTTGCCCAAACGAGCGCGACCGTAGTTTAAATACCTTTGCGAAAAGTGAGTTTGCGACTGCTGTGGCCTCGAACGTATGCCTTTGCCAGGGCAAAGTGACGAAGGGTTGACACTCGAAATGTCAGTTCTGCAAAGTCGCTACGGTGATTCATTTCCAGTTGAAAAATAGCTGTTTGTAAGAGCAGGATAAATCGTCAACCAGTTGTCCATCTAAAGCTATAAAACCAAATCCCACGGGAAACGCTGCATAGCCTAATCTGGTTATGAAGACTGCAGTAAAGTAAATATTACAGTTCAAATTTTTGGAATCTCATTGCATTATTGAAAATACTATTTTGATGCATGATTTACGCTTTTTTCCTTCACTGTAGACCGACCTTCATCTACACTGCAAAGAATGGGATAAATTGCTAAGCAGTAAGGACTGGGAACCAGAGGTGATAGTTGAGAGGATTCCAGAGTTCTTCCGCTTTGTGAAACAAGTTCAAGGTTTTGTTGCGCAGGAAATAAAAGGACGTAGAGTGAAATAAAAGACACTCGTGTTGTCGTGTTTTAGTCTGTAAATAGAATGGCACGTCTCTCTTTTAGTCTTATGACGACAGCAATGGACTTCATACAGCGGAAACCCTCGTAAGCGGACACCCTGGGGACACGAAAAAGCAGTCCGTAACTGAAGCTGGCCAATTACGAGAATAGTTCTCGTTAGCGGCCTGTAAGGGAACAAGAGAACTTCTCTTGAAGGGAAAGATGGCCGCTTATGGGAGCTTGCCTAGCTTACAAAAAACATTGTAAATACAAAAATAACACCGATAATGTACAGGACTGACCCTGCATAATTGCAGCCAGCATGAACTTTAGCATTAACAGTCTCACTGCACCAAAAGCCAGTGATACAGTTTACAAATGTTTAGAAGCACAGTTTCAAAGCCAGACCCAATTTCTTTCAAGTGTCTGCTCACTGGAGCCTAAAAACAAAGGGAAAGTCTAGATCGTAAGCCCTCAAAGTGGCTTCCCATGAGAACTGGCACAGTCCTTTTTATGACCTTAACTCAGAGGTACCAGTAAGCAGAGGAAAATGTCCCGGAAGGAAACTTAACTCCCAAACTTTACCCTCTTCAAAATTTTGTGCGAGTTTTATGAAGTTTAGATATCTGTTTGCAGCTTGATATGTTTGTTCAGTTGTTGGGGTCTTAAATGTAATAAATGTTCCTAAATGTAATGAAGGTCCTAAATGTGATAAAATTTGGCCCTAAATGTAATAAATGACCTATATGTAATATATACAATTTGCCCTAAATGTAATAAAGGTCCTAAGTGTAGTAACTTTTGGTCCAAAATGGAATAAGCTCACCGACAGCCATATTGGTATTTAGGCAGTCTAAAAGTCGCACGTGACGCATTATTTGCCGTAATTACATACAGCGACTAGCAGAGTAGAGGCACAAGCTCAGTGTCTGCGGAACGAAATAAAAAATAAGGAGCAGAAGGGGAAAAGAACACAGGATTTGAAAAAATATGCTCGAGACGGTACAGCTAAGCCGGATCGTCAAATGTCCGAAAATGCTCGAGGGGTCAGGGGCTGCCAATTTTCATATTTCTTTACAAAAGCTGTTGACTAATCGAGCCACCCTGAGTGCTTTCGCTGGGGCACCCTTTTAGGCGGGCTATCTTTTTTTGCATGTACGTAAACAGTTATAACATGAGGGTCTCTATGGCGTTAACCGTTAGTCGCAAAATGGCCAGAAATTTAGCTGTTAGGTGTAGAAAATGGAAAAAACTAGCCGTTAACCGTAAAAAATGTTAACGATACTGAAACTATACACGCCATAAAATCTAGATGGTTTTCCCTCGCCACGTCACGCTTTGATGACGCTTTCTGAACTTGAGTGGAAGGGCTCTGAATTTTGCATCCAAAGGCGGGCTTCGTTGTAGCCCGGTAAGTCGGTTAGCCGGGCATTCTCTTTACATATTAAGAGCGTAAATCCGAAAATATCGAGAATCGGTCGACAGAAGCGAAGTAACGAATTTTTTCTTATTTGGCCAAAAGAACCCTTTTGGTTAACTATTTTCGGAAATGACATCAAAAGGCTCGATTTCCTTTTCCTTTCTTCGAAATTTGCAAAACTTTAAAATTCGGCCTCAGGGCTTTCAGCGGCGGCCATGAGGCTCGAAATTTGGCACATGTTCAACATGCTCGTATGGACGTACCAAACATTGTCTTAACATGTCCTTTACACAGTTTGTGGGGCATCTCTTAAACTTTACTCGGGGCTAAATGTTGTTTAAAAATGTTGCTTTTTACAAAATAGTTAACCCTCGGAAGTTGAACCATTTACAGGCCTAAAGTGACAAGGCTAATATTAGCAAACTTTGAACTTGTCAAATGCTGTCTGTTATATTTCAGTCAAGTGAATAAATATAACCAAATAAAAGCAAGTTCTTTATTCTACCTGCCTGGGAAAAATTGCAGGTGGCCCGTAAAAACTGTTTCGTTGGGAGAATTTTCCGTGAGGTCACTTTGACGCATATCTCACTTTTAATTTTTTATTGCGCAATTGCTAGTATTTCCGACTTTTTTATTTTATACATTCCCACTAAATCTTTTAAGGTAAAGAATTGAAATAAATCCAAGATAGAAGTTCAAACAAGTTTTTACAGCTTATCAATAGACCAATTCAATCTCTTTAATGGTTTTTCAATAGCACTGGTACTTTATCCTGAGTCACGCAAACTATTTCACGCGGTAGCGAACGTGACCAGCTGGTTGAAAAAAAAAAGGGCAAAAATATACATGGCTAGAATGATCCTTTTTGTCACCAATTTTATGCAGTATGACTAAAGGGTCTGTGTACTTTCCGTCTAGAGAATAAGACTGGTGGCCCGTAAAAGTAGTTCCGTTGAGAGGATTTTTCAGTAGGCTCCTTTACAGCACATCGTATCAGAATTCACT